GGGGGGGGGGGGGGCATGCAAGTTCAGCACACATGGCGCTATAGTTTGGACCCCCAACCCTGCAGGTGTGGTGTCACAGTGCTGCTCCCTAAGGCTCCCCCTCCACCCCCATCATGTTTACAGCCATTCAGAAACTATAGTCTGTCTTTCTGAAATGTTTGAATGTGACACAAAAATAAGAACAAGAGGCTGAGACCTGAATGCCACTTGAAAGGACGTCCCGACTTCCTGCACGGACATCAAAGGTGAGGCAGGTAGAGGCTTTAGTGCATCCCGGATGACTATGCTACACAGCCGTTGTGCAAATGTCTTTTTATCTTCACTGGGGTTGTATGTGTTATCCCCACCCTCTCTGGAGAGTGCGCCTCCCTGACTCTGTGCTCCAGTTCCACCCTGATCTGTTCTCCCATTTCACCCTAACTCTCTGCTCCTACTCTGCCCTGATCTGTTCTCCTACTCCACCCTGACTCTCTGCTCCTACTCTACTCTGACTCTGTTCTCCTACTCCACTATGACTCTCTGCTCCTATACTCTGCCCTGATCTGTTCTCCTATTTCACCCTAACTCTCTGCTCCTACTCTGCCCTGATCTGTTCTCCTACTCCACCCTGACTCTCTGCTCCTACTCTACCCTGACTCTGTTCTCCTCCTCCACTATGACTCTCTGCTTCTTCTCCACCCTGATCTGTTCTCCTACACTAGCCTGACTCTCTGCTTCATCTCTGTCCAGATCTGTTCTCCTACTCCACCCTGACTCTCTGCTCTTACTCCACCCTGATCTGTTCTCCTACTCCACCTTGACTATCTGCTCTTACTCCACTCTGATCTGTTCTCCTACTCCACTATGACTCTGCTCCTATTTCACCCTCATCTGTTCTCCTACTCCACCCTGACTCTGTGCTCTTACTCCACCCTCATCTGTTCTCCTACTCGACCCTGATTCTCTGCTCCTCCTCCACCCTGATTTTGTTCTCCTACTCGACCCTGACTTTCTGCTCCTCCTCCACCCTGACTCTCTGCATCTTCTCCACCCTGACTCTCTGCATCTTCTCCACCCTGACTGTACAGCTTTCCTTCATCCGCACTGTCTCCTTCCACTCTCCACACTGCTGGCTTCCAGGCATCTACCCAAAAAAAAACCCCACTACTGTTCTATTTCTGCTCAAGAAGATATAACTAGTTAAGAATCCAAATCCTAAAATATTAACCACTAGAGTGAACGGACAGTTTTATCCCGAGCTGCTCACAGAGGTGGAAGAGATCTAGGTGCGTTTCTCAGAGGCCTGTGATTCTGCGAACGACATCACTCCCCTCCGCCCCCATGCTGCTGGAATGGGCCCGTGTGGATTTCCGCACCCCGGGGAAACACCGCCAGTTTAATTAGCCGTCCGTTATCATTCTGTGGGCTTAATTAGCCGGGCAGCTGTCCAGGGGAGAGGCTTAACCCGAGCGTTCCCGTGAAGCAGCTCTCCGCAATGACCTTAACGTAGCGTAGCGTAACGTAACGTAATGTTCCTCATACCCGCTCACCTGGTCGATGTGACCCACGGGGACCATGCCCAAATATCCGTACGGATACATGCAGCCCTCAGACCTGGATATACGCCAAGATCTGTAAACCGTTTGCTTAAATTCTTAATCCTTGAGTACATTTTGGTCGCAAGGCCTCAGTGATTCTCCAAGGTACACTGATAATACTCGCCTGCCAAACTAGATTATGCGGACTCTTAAAAACCACCTCAAAAAGACAGATCTTATCCAAAAATGGCCCCATCTCCTGAAAATCACTGCCATTCCTTCTAAATCAGGACTGACTGCTGCCCTCATCGCCCAGATAAGAGCCCACTTTGCATAACCGAACCGGAGTGGGGCCTCAGACAGCCTCTCAGCGCGTAAATCACATTAGCCTAGCGCACTCCGGTGTTCCACGCACGGCTGGACGCCACAGCACTTCCCGTGAGCTGACCGTAGGTCCGCCTGCTCGCTCGAGCATGTATTATTTTTTTTTAAGGTCCGTGAGCTGAGAACGCAGCCCAGCGCTGAGGGAAATGGGAGAATTGGAAGACGTTTCCCACAATGCACAGAGGTCTGGAAAGCTCGCCCTGTCAGAACCGTCAGAAGAAAACTAATTACACAGCCGGCTCCAAAGAGTGACGGATGAGCGACCTCGTTGAAACGTTTTCCGGCGGACGCGTTTGCCGTGGAAGTGCCTCTTTCAGTCAACTGTCGTTCACCTCCAGGGAGTGAGAGACGGAGAAAGGCCATCCCGGATATCTGAACCGCCACGCCGGAGCCTCGCAGAGATCTGGCCCATAAGAGCTCAGATCTGGACTACTGCGACCAATGAGTGGTAGTTTTGCCTCCAGGCAAACGGATTGAATTATCTGTCCTAACAGGGGTTAGAGATGGGTTAGTTAAAAAAAAAGACTCCTTTTAAATTTATAGAATAATCCTGACTTAAGTCAAGAGCAAAAGTGATTACACAGTTCATGGTCACTCTGTGTGCCAGGGACCAATAATCGCACCACGCAATTCAGCCAACAGGGGGAGCTTCTGTCCCTACTGCAGGGTAAAATGTTTTTGGTGTGTACTCTAACTACAGGCACGTCTGAGGAATAACAGACAGCTTCGCCGGTCAACATTTCCATTCATACAAAAAGATGGAGCCAGATATCAACCTGAGCGGTAAGACCTGAAGAACGACGTCACTCCAGGAACGTAACGACACTTAAAACCAGACGGGTCAGAGCCTTGAACGCAGGCATGGCTTCTAAAGACCATGATGTTCTCATAATTCCCGACATTCATCTTCCAGCCAGAACAGCGTCATGGAATATTCCAGTCTATTCCCTCACCCTCCAGCTGTGTACCCATACAGAGTCACATAATGCTGTAGTCTTCCGTTCTATTCTTACATAATGAGAACTACAATGATAATAATGGTACCAATAATGACAGGCGGTCATTTCAATGCCCACCCTTGTTTTGCTGGTGCTCGAGCCTAAGCAGAGATTCCGATCTATGTCTTGCCTTCAATGCCGAAAATAAACGGCCCCCACAAAAGTTTCCCTCACTCATATTACTCTGGGAATCTGAAAATTGCTGAAGAAACAAATCACTTCTTATCTGCTGCTGACAATTGGCAGCCAACTTAGTCCCCCTGACCAGATCAGTCAGTGTTTTTTTTCTGTTTATCCTAACGGACTCAAGACAGGCCATATATAAACAAAGAGACACTAGGATCCCACCACTGTCACTCAGAAAGTCTCTGTTGCCCACGGCAACAGGATGCTGATGGTGTCCGGCTCCTGGTCGCAGTCTGGCATCTTACTCTGTACTGTGACGGATGCTGATGTCATCCTCTCTGAGGATCTAAGGTCACCCTCCTCAGACCATTGAATGGAGTGGTCCAGAGCGAAGTTGAGGGGGTGTATTGGGACAAGATATACCCCCTACCTTCTGAAAAACAGGCTCAGTACTGATGTTGAACAAGGAAGGAGTGCAAACTCAGAATTCTCGCACCTTCTGAAAAACGCCACAAACTTGCATAAATCAACTATAAAATCTACATTCAATAACAGATCCTCATATAACCTCAGACAGGCAACAGCACAGAAGGGAAAAAAAAATAGACCTGAATACATTTTCAAAGGAGGGAAAAATACAATCTGCTTTTTTTTACTGCAGGGATCAAAACACACGGAAGATTTGACCCCCCGTTAAGGCTGGCGGGGGATCCGGGGGTGTGTGACAGACGGGTCATTAAGCCGACAAGTGTACGGGCCGCAGAAATGCGCTCTGGACCTCCACGAGCTCGTCCCCTTTTCGGAATCACCCCGTCGGCATGGAAAGAAGCTTAAGTGGAACCGTGAAGATCAGTACACTTCTAGTTCAGATGACAGCTGGGGTCTCACCCACCCACCCACGCGCACGCAGGAACGTCGACCCTCTGACGCAGCTGATGGGATTCTTCGTGGCCCCTGCCTGCACCAGTGAAGGGCGGAAAGATGCTGCGTGAAGAGGTGCTGGAGGTATAACATGCTAATCCGGGGGTGGGAGGGTACTGGCACTAGATTTAACAAATCTAACCGTTTCCATTTTTTTTATATGACATCAGAACGCTCCAATGTTAGGGATAGTTTAAAAAATTGGAATTTAAAAGAATAGAAAAAAGGAAACCCCTTCTTTAAATGAAAGATATCCAGAAGAAATGCCTATTACAACAACTACCCCAGAATAATTGATACTGATACTATTATTTCAAAACTGGAAGCTGCTGATACGCAAATTACAATTACTGCCACAGTGATGGCCGCTGTTTGAAGGAACAGACCTATCTTCCATAACCACTTATCCAGTGGGGTTCTGGGGAGCCTGGCGCCTATCCCAGAATGCACAGGGAATGAGGCAGGGGTCACCCTGGATTGGGATGCCAGTCTGTCACAGGGCACACTCACACCGAGCGGAAAATCAGGAGGAATCAGTTCACATAACCGCATGATTTTGGACAGAGGGCGGAATCCGGAGAACCTGGTGGACACCCACACAGCACTGGGAGAACATGCAAGGCCCACACAGAGCGGGAATAGAACCCGAATCCATGCGGGTGTGAGACTACAGTGTCATTTTATAAACAGCCTGCTTTTTGTGATCCAGACATCTAGCGGGGCAGTTTCCCATCCTGCAGGAATGCCTAGGCGCAATCAGGCCAGTGTTTGTTTTAATGCAGCAGCACAGAGCACGTCCCCTGTAATGCAGATTATAATGCAAGTCACCAGTTGAAGCTGATTAAACAACGGGTTGAGAGGGCGAATCACTTAACTGAAGTATTCAGGCTGTAGTCCGCATTTAATGTACCCGGTGGGGGGGGGCAGCAACATGAGGGGGTGCGGAGGCCGTCCAGGGAGCTGATGATGCAGGGTGTGGGTGCTATCCAGGGTCCTGAACTCAGCAGCACTAAATGACCTTACATTATTTGTTCTTACATTTAATTTATTTAGAAGACGCTTTCATCCAAAGTGACATACAATTGAGAGAGTGGGGTCAGCCAGGGCCTGGAGCAACTGGGGGTTAAGGGCCTTTGCTCAAGGGCCCGATAGTGACATCACTCCACCGATCTCGGGATTTGAACCGATAACCTTCCGGTAACAGGCTAACCTGCTGAGCCACACACTGCCCGGCGCTGATTCATTCACTCGCGTCAGCTGCTTTTCTGTTCATTCCCTCGACGGCGTCCAGATGCGTGTGAGGCTGGAGAGGAATAAAACGGCCTGGATTTCAGCGACCAAGAAGATAAAAGCCACTTTTTCCTCAAAATGTGTGACACATACAGAATTAAATAAAAAACAAACACAGACACACACACACACACACACACACACACACACCCTAAAGCTGCCTTGGACAAAACATTATCCTGTCCGTAAATAAAAAGCGATACAAGCAACCTTGCCATGACCGCCAGATGCCAGTCACGGGGGGGGGGGGAACAGAGGCTGCTCCGTCACGCACACAAAACAGATGCCAGACCTCGAGTACAGCGCCACCCGGGGGAGGGGGCCATAAATTATGTAAAAGGAAGACAGGGATGCTGGCCCACTGTCATCTTATTGTAGGACAAACTTCTGCTGTGGGTGGGGGGTGCTGGCAGCAACATGGGGGGGTGTAATGGGTGGTGGAGGGAGAGGTCTGACAGCCCGGTATATCGCTAATCTCAGCTAGTAGGATGACAGGGCATTGCCCCCCCCCCCACAGTCAGACATGACAGGGGGCAGCAGGCCAGGCTGACAGGCTTCTCTGCTGTCATGGGAGTCATGGAAGCCCACCGCTTACACCCCCTTAAATACTACAGAAAACTTTTTAGCTGATTTCACTTTTTCCTATTTCAAAGAAATCCTACATTTTGCAAAAAATTTAATTCCAGTGGACTTTTAGACGTCTTTTAGACGACTCTCGGGCAATTAGAACATTATGGCAGAGCATTGTGGGAAAAGGACTGTTTTAGCATAATGGCTAACCGGTGTAACACCTTCGCTCTTTATAATTTCTCTCTGGGAGACCCGGCCTGATTTCCGATGATCCATTATGCATGACGTCGCATTAAAAATGCAAGGTTAGAAGGTCGCAACCCACGGATAGAGAGCTGGGGGCCACGCCCGATGCCTTGGGTATATGGAATGCTGTGCGTTTGATTGGTCTATGAGCTATAGGGGGTAGGACTACTGTTCTCCTACCTATTTGTAATGGATTTTTCTTATGACTTCCAATGTCTAAAAGAAATGCTCTCGATGATGCAGCAGGTGGCGCTGTGTTTAATGGCCAGCTAGCACTGACTTCCAGGAAGGGTCTCGAAGAGAAGGGCTCTGCCTGTTATCTGGTTTAAGATGCAAACCTCACAGCGACGTCTGCCTGTCTCTGAGCTGGAGGGCTCGACAGCTGGGCCCGAACGCAAATCGCCCGGCTGTTCGCCGGGAATTGATTAACGTGTTGGCACGGCAACCTAAGAATGGCGCTATACGGGCAGGATTGTGAGAGCTCCTTATAACCTTCATCGTCATGCCAGCTGTGAAACATGTGCCAATACAATGCCAGCACAGTATCTGTTTTTTCTTTTTATTTCGGCCCGTACATATTCTTGGAAAGACTAATGGGAAAAGATGCCCCTCCAGACTAACCAGTTCCCGTTTAACCAGGCCCTGTGTAACCAGTTCCCGTGAGATTGCAGAAGACCTCTCCGGCTCCTATCAGGTAGCCCCAAATCCATGTAGCATGCTAGTGTAGCGTGCTAGTGTAGCGTGCTAGTGTAGCGTGCTAGTGTAGCGTGCTAGTGTAGCGTGCTGGCACATACTCCGGTGGCCTGTTTGACACCCAAGGTGAGCCCTGCTGTCGTATCCTGGAGGGCGGCCTTCCCTTGGGCAACTTGGCTTAAACTGTAGAATCACAAGCTGCCACTAGGGACAAAAGCGTGCGATTTTCCAGTGGGGAAAGAAACAAAATGAATCAGGGCGAGCGGCGATGGGCTTTGCGCTGGGGTGGGCTGGCGGGGTCCGTTCCCCTTGGCTGCACTCTGTGATGGTATGCGAGCCGGCCTTTCACTCACTCTGCCCTTCCAGAGATTCAGCACTTCTTCCCATAATATGCCTCGTGCCCCCCCCCACTCTTCCTGCCGCTCTGTTTTCCTTCATTCTGCATCATGACCTTTAAAAAGATTTGCCCGCTTGCATAATTTAAAAAAAAGAAAGAAAAAGAAATACACAAACTTAATTATTTCTTTTTCCTGCAGTTCGCCCTCTTGGCGGGCCGGCTTTGTTCTAGAACATTCTGCCGCCAGCCGCTTGTCTTCCTCGCCATCGTGCCCCGGAGGCTGTGCCTGCCACATTAATAGGCCGCGCTCCCTCCCACACGTGGCAGAACAGACGGAGGTCTCACAGCCGTGTCACGCGCCCGCTTTACACGGCAGACCCCCGCAATGCGGTCCTCTTTCATCGCCGTGGGCGACTGGGGACAGAATTGGGGGAAAGGCTGCATGACAGGGGTGGGGCCACAGAGGCACATGCCCCAGGTGAAAGCTGATTGGCCCTCGAAGGGCCCCTCCCCCGCCACTCACCAATTGAAAACAGATCCCTCTGTATGAATTATAGCCTCTCTTATGCACCTCCAACTTAAACAAAAACCCTAGAATCATTCCTGCTCTGCGTGTGTGTGTGCGTGTGCCGAAAAGGCAGTGTCTGCCATGTTCGGGTGCAAAAATAGCTTCAAAACCGAATCAGAATAGAAATCAAATTAAAACTAACTTTAAAAAGCTTCCATAATAAAAGGAAAGAGGGAGATGTTAAGATAGGGTGGCTCATCATAGCTTCGAATGCACATTCTGGGATTCCTCAAATTGTAGGTGTAATTACATAGTAGCACCTATACTGTACTGCATGGAACAGGAATAGACCCGCGGACGGACGGGTGAGGTTCCACGGGTCATGCCCGCCGGCCGGGGGCAGAAAGATGTTGTGTTAGCACTCATCGAAGATCTGCTTAAGGGAACACATCAGGGTTTTGCTTCAAACTCCAGGAGCAAGACCACAGCCATTTTCCGACCGCCAGTGTGCGGGGGGTGGTCTCACGGCTACACGTGTACAGCACTGGGTCTCTCTTACACTGCGACACTTAGAATTGCAGTGAAGTTGGTTAATGAATGTCAAATGAGGACAGGGAAGAGACGAAGGCTTATGAATAACTGTGAGCTGCTGAAGGGGGAGGAGGCAAGGAGTCGAGCAGAACTAGTAGCACTAGAGCAGCAGTCAAGCATGAATTCAGATGGAGTTGAGCTGGAATTCAATAGGAGTCGAGTAGGAGTAGGGAAAGAGTAGGGATCAAACTAGAATCAAACAGGAGTGAAGCTAGAATTGCTGGCAGACAGACAGGACCTCAGTCGGAGTCAAACAGCTGAACTAAAATTCTTAGGAATCAAGTGGAAGTGAAACAGATGTCAAGACAGAATTCACTGGGACCATGTAGGAGTCAAACAGGAATCGAGGAGGAATTCTATAAAAGTTAAAAGTAGGAGCTGAGCAGCCCTGCTGAGGTATTTCATGAATGGTTCTCTAATCAGACTCTGCTGAATTCTTGTAATGCTGCACATATCTGATAGACTGACTTACTCACTAGAAAAGTGTCCAGGGGAGACTACCAGCATCTCTCAGGAAGCCATTTTAGGAGATTAAACATCAAAGCTAACCCAAAGCTCAACGGCACGGCCCACTCTGACCCTGATAAACTCGGCAGATAAAAAAAACAAGGTATCTGGCTGTGAGAAGGCCCTCCAGAGGCGGGAAACGGCAACGCCTTCTGCTGGAAATAGGGAGTGTAGAACTTGAATAACACATACAGGACACACAAAATCACGACAATCAAAGTGGTTTAAATGCTCCACTAGGGTCTTGAGAGCTCGGTCCTGATCATGACGATGATCTAAGCTCGCTGCTGATGTGGAACATCTTGGGGGGGGAGGGCAAAATTGCTCCTGAAGAGAGAGACAGCAGGGCAGAGAGAGGCAACCAATCAAACTCAGCAAATTAAGTCACCCAGCTTAACGAACCGGGATGATCTGAGCCGAAAGTGCAACTTGGGCACAACAAACATTAATCACGCAGCAATCAGAAAAATGTAACTTCAGCCATTTGAAAAATGAATATTATCCATAATT